GCAATCAAACAAGGAGGGAAGACTGGTGACAATTACTTTCGAAATCAACATGGTATCCTTAGCGTGGGTCGTCGTGTTTGCATTTTAACTTTATAGTGGATGATACTGTCAAAACTAAAAGGTTTTTTGTTTGAAAAAGAAAACGTTATGGAAGTAGTCGTTCGAATAGGGAGTTCTTTACATTTTCATGGAGAGAGAGATTTGTACCTTTCCTTTCTTCAAGAAAGAATAGTGATCGTGTTCACGAGCATTTTGATCTAGTTGAAGTTATTACATAAATAAATGTCTACGTTCTCGCCGTTGGATCATGTGAAGGTGAAATGTCTTATCAGTATCAATCAGTATACCTTTTATATTGATGTTTCTCACTTATGATTATTGTGCGAAATGACCACTAAGAATTGTGCGAATGGTCCTAAACTTGTGCTAAAAGACTTGTGCGAAAAGTCTTTTGTGCGACATGACCGGTTACCGGTGAAAAGGTCATTTGGCCTCTTTTCATTATTGTTTCCTGTTTTGCAATGTAGTTAGACAAGTTCATACTGGTACCCACTTTTACACTTGCCTATTTGTTGCTTGACAAAAAGAAAGAACATGTAATCTGAATTCATTATTGTTAAAACCTTGATTGGCGAGTTTGACAACCAGTACAATTTTTTTAAGTTTTGATGTTTTAGAATTTTTTTATTAGTTTAAAGAAGCTAAAGAAGATTGTCATTTCTGATATACAATGGTTAGTCTTAATTTGATTTTGACTCTGACTTTCTTCCTTTAGCACTTCTTACTGATGTGTTGAAATCACAAAAATATACTGATATTACAGTGAACCTTTTTGGTGAGTTTTCTTGTTTTTAAATTTCCTATTCCTTCATGTTATCCTCTTAAGTGAAATTGCATTAATTGTTGCTTTTAGATCTCCCATGTTTACTTCTAGCTTGAGGGTTAGAATACATGTATTATGTTTTTTTCTTTTTAATTTTTTATTTTGCAAAATTACAAGATTACAATACTACATGACTAAAATGCTAGTATACTACATAACTAAAATGCTACGATACTACAAGAAATTACACAAAAAATTACTTAATTACAATACCAGCATAAAGACCACACCCCAAATAAAAAAAATTACAGTATTAATTCCCCTAATTGTACAAAATTACAGCATAGCTGTAAAAATGCTAGTAATATTGAGACATACGTGTAAGCAAGTGTTTGTGAAGCAAGTATTTGCATTAGTAAATCCAATAACACTCTTATTTTGGATTTTTTTTTACAGCAATATTGGCAGAAAACAACCGCCTTGGTTTAGTCCATAATGTAGTTTCTGCATTTGGCAAACTTATGAGTGCAGCCAGAGGTGAAGTGTTGTGTTCCATAACAACTGCCAAGGTTTGTTTTAGTTCTTCAGAAGTATATTTGATTACCTGCTATATTATTATTACAAAGCAATATTATGACATGTAATCCCCTACAAGTGTATTTGTTTTTAATGCAGAGTTACTACAAAGGGAGTTCCTACTAAGTACCAGTATGGTGTTGCTTTGTACTTTTACAGTCTTTCTCTCCATATCCTAAAGCCCATTATCTTTCAATTAGGGAAGTGTGAAACCTTCAACTTTTTTTTTACAATTTCAGTGCTTGATTGATATTGTGTACAGAGTTGAGGGAAGATAAACTTGATGATTTATACCAAATGAGTTCCTGCTCCTGATCAGTTTCTCATGTTCCATTATCATGACAAGATAAATTTGATGTGTAGTTTGTGTGTAAGGTTTTACTCAGAACCCATTCATGGGTCTGATTTATAGTTTATCACTGCAATGGTTATTTCATATCTTGAAATTAATTTTTGATTACACACAAATTTACACATGTATTACATCTTTGTAACTATTACATCTGTGGTCAGTTAAGTCTCCCCTGTTTTTTGTATGAATTGCAGCTATAATGAATATTGGGAAGTGTGTTCAGTATAGTGTTGAGCATTTGTACATGTGAGTGTTACAGAAGTAACACTCATGAAGTTGAATTTGAGTAATGACTTCATCTTTTCAGTTCCAAGAGCTGTACATTACTTGAATGTACATTTTATTCTAGTGAAGGAATTACGGAATGTCTTTCTTTTTTTGGTTTTCTTCCAACTTAAATTAATACTGTTTTTTGGATCGCAGCAGTAAAAACATAAATAAGAGTCAAGTTAACTAATTAAGATAAACAAACTAGAAACAAAAAATGAAGCCAAAGGAAAAAAATACATTGTCCTTACACTGATAAGGCTCAATATATAATTGTAAAAAATCGACTTTTAATAACAGAATTATACCAAGCAAGACTTTAAGTAAACTGACTTGAAAAGGGATTATGTTTAAAACAAACTGGCTTTTAATACAAGAGGACTGCGAAATAACTTAGGGTATGATAAACATGCAAAAAAGTGTAACTGACGAAGACAAATACTAACAAACTTAACCCTTTAACCCCCAAAAGTGATTATCATGGAACTTCTCCCTATAATATCTGTTCACTATTCATCCAATACCCAAACTTATCTGATCGGAGTTGCTATCTTAATCTAACACCAAATTCTTGTAACTTATTTACAAAGAAATGTGTAGCAGCTAAAGGGGAGAACTAACAATTGGATCTTGGGAGTTAAAGGGTTAACAGAAACACTAACAAGGAGGTATGAAAAGAAAAGAATGTAATAAATAAATACAAATTACATGAAAAATAACTATCAAGCACTTAGATCTTACAAGTAATGTGTACATGTGATTACTGCTTTGCTTTCTCAGGAATTGGATTCTTCTCAATTGAAAGAGTTGCAAGCAGCATTGAAAGGTTTTGTACAAAAGAATGAAACTCTTAAGATTGAAACTAAGGTGAGTAAACCACCACTGGCTTTCTTTTCATCCTAGTTGAGTGGTCTTTTATACTACATTTCTAGTGCGCACTTGCTGTAATCTCTCCATTTAGCACTTTTTTGGCTTACTTTCCTCCAGACACTCTTAAGAGTTACTTGAGCTTGTAAGAGAGAGAGAGGGTTGGGGGG